CAGCCTGGGTCAGTCAAGAACCTCTACATAGTGGAAAAATATTAAACCCTCAACAGTGCAGATTTCTTACCAGCTGTGTCCTGTCCTGCCTCGGCCGGTTTCATGCTCCCAACATGAGGGGGAAGAAGCACACACCGCTCCTCCTCCACCCGCTGTGTGAACTCCAGCTTACACTTCAGGCACTGTAGACGCTCACACTCGGGCTGTCCCTGGGAGACCTTGTGCACATTCTCCTCGGCGATTCGAGTAAGGACTTCCGCTAACGACTGGAACACCCAATATAAATAAATTGGAAACACTTGAAAGGGGTTATCATGGATGAAAAAAAACTTCCAGGAATCGGTTGCATAAGCAATATGTACTATTGATATAACTCATCCTCGTTAAAGAGAAAACATACAATTGACCACTATAAGGGAGGTCAAAATGCTTCCTGAAGGTGATATTTAAAGCTTTGCATCTAGCCAATTTAGTTTACTAGTGATGATGTAGATTACATAAAAAATGTATTACGCAAAGTAAAACTTGTCTTTAGGAAATATCTTGATCGTTTAGGGCTAAAACCACACTGTACAATATGTTCACAAAATACAGAGTCAGCCACAATAATTATAGTCCTCCTAGCTACAGTCACCTAGCTTTGAAGCTTGAGAGCATGGAACTGAATTAAGGCTTTTGGCAGAAACAAGATGAAACATGTTCCACTACTAATGGAACAAACCAAAGATTATTCTACACTTGAACACACTTTAAATCATAAACCTTTTCACTGTTGTAATTACCAATCTCCCAGAGTCCTTTTTGTGTGTTGTTCAAACTAATCCCAAACACAATATATTATGTCAATTCCACAATTTCATGACTCAAGGCTACAGTCTTTTAAAAAAAATTCCATATGTTGATCACAGGAGTAAACCACATCTTTAAAATCAAACCACGTCTTACAAACAGTGATAAAAGATAAGTGGCAAATTGCAGTGATCAGGTTTTGTTGGTCTTCTTCCAAAATCTCTTCATGTTTACCTGCAAGGCTTGCTGTGGATCCTCATCCAACATTACATACTGCCGCCTCTGTCGTGCTCGACTAATGTAACTGAAGTGCAGTTCCAGTACTGGAAGGGATATTTCCTCTCCCTGTGACAGGTGGGTAAAAAAAATAATCAAGCTTTAAGTTTTTTGTAATTCTCTCCAGACTGATAAGCATCAACTACTCTATTTTGATTTCCTCCCAAAATCTCTTTGGACTGTAGCATGATGTTTTTCTTACTTGTTACCCAATTATTTAATCTTAATTACCCTCTTAATTGTGATAAGGTAACCACGGGTTCATT